AATCATTAATGAGATTTCCAATAGAGAGTAGGCAGGCATTTTGTATCCCACCTGAAGGTTTTGGGAAAGTTTGGGTTTTATCTGGGGTAAGTGATATATATTATAGCCCAGGAGGATCTGCAATATCCTGTGATATAGTAAATCTCTGAAGGTGGGTTTGCTCATTGGGTCTGCTCTAATGAGAACCAAGCTACACAGTCCAAGTTTGACCAAATTACTCTACACAGGATGGGCAAGAAAGACTCTAATTTGATGTTTTAATTTGATTGATAATTATTCTCCCTCCCTGCTGTCATCTTCAGCAGCACTGTACCCCTCCCTGAACCACAGAACTGAATTTGAGCTCTTTATTCTATTAATGTCTCCTTATAGCGATGATTGTGATGTTGTAACTGCATGCATTTCCCTTTCTGTTCTGCTGTCATTCTTTAGGTAATCAGATCTTTCAAATCAGGCAGGTTCCCTCACATTACGTGCTTCAGTTCCCCATTATTCCTCCTATGGTTTAAGCAGCAAAGATTGTTCTTCCCAAAAGTGAAACATAGAACCCACTGACTTAGGACTCTTATCACACCCTAGGTCAATGGTCATATGAACTTTCCAATAATTTGTTGCAGATGGCAGTGATCAAATAGGGCTTCTAAGTATGCCTTACTTATACTGAGAGGTGGAATTCACAGTAGATGCACTGAACTCATAGATTCATGTTAGGAGGAGAACTGAAAGGCAATTTGGGCCTGATGCTCAGAGTTCTGAAAAATCACCCTTTTGTCCTTGACCATAATTAGAAAGGAAGTTTTCCAGCCTTAATCCTGCTGAATGATCTGTGCACCAACCACTCAACTTTACAAAGCACATTCAATTGAACCTAGTGATTAGCTCCTTACAAGCAGCAACCTTTATCCTTTTTGTTTCTCTGATCTTTGATTATTAGAAGTTTCTTTAGCATGACAGGAGTGGTTCTGATGACACTCAACAGAGGCACTTATGCCTTTTTAAAGTGTCCCTCTTGCCAATGAGATTTTCCACCAACAGTTTCCTCCACCTCCCAAATAAAACTTCTCCGTATTGCATTCTGAGTAATTTTTTGAAGGGAAGGAGAGGGAGAGCGACCCAAACAAATCCAGGAATTAATGAGTCCTTTTCTCTGTCTAAGGACTCCACATTTTTCCTCATTATTTTGACTGTTCTTTGGCCGAGTCATCTTATTTTATATGATTTTGCTAACAGGGAGCCATTCATTCGTAACCTGTTTAATTGCATTCTGAAAAGGAGAAAGGCAAGGCAGTGGAATTCACATTTTTATTTCAATAACTTTGCTCCCTATAAATTATTGTGCCATATTTTCCCGTTACTCAACACAGCTGTTATAAATCACCACTTTGCTCTACTACATATTCTTTTCTTCATCTCGATATAAAAGTCAGCCTAAAGTGTAGCAAATTTAGCCCCAAGCAGATACACTAATGGGATGAAAAGAAAGGGTTTGGGGAATAAAGCAAAGCTGAATCATTATGCAGGGTATGGGCTGCTTTTCACTATATAGGAAATCAGGGGTCTCATTTTTGCCAAAAATATTAAGCTTTATCAGTTAAAAACAAAAACTTGAGGAAAAGAAAGAAAGGGGGGGCAAAGTGTCATTAGAAAGCATGTAAAGTTTTTTTATATATATAAAAAAGACAAGGGGACAATTTTTGCTGGAACTGCAGTACATGAGGAGGGGAGCTTTAAGCCCTTCCATCCCCAACCATGATAGCAGTGAAAACTGTCCCCACTCTCCTGTTAGCCTTAGGAAAACAGCACCCACTGGTGCCCTAGTTAGGAAAAGCTAGTTTTGGCAAAAATTGGTTAGAGCACACATTCCCACACAATAGCAAAAGACGCATCCCCCAGTGTCAATAGGACTGTTGACATCCACACCAGATATGTGAATGGAAGGCTGCTTCACGTATGCAGATCTCCATTCCTGGATTGAGACATGAGTACATGAATACTACTTTTTCTGTCCATTTCAGTCACAGAGTTTGCGGTTTCTAATTGACAAATTTTTGTTTGCTTGCTTTGTGAATTGGTGGAAACATATTGCCATCCCATTCTGTGTATACTTGATTTGGGGAACAATTCAATCTTCTCTCCAAGTCTGACTGGACTCTTGAAGCTCCAGGGCTGCTACTACATCCACAGTTTTGCCACGCACAGCTGCCAGGGTGCAAGTGGGGTGGGGGCAGCCTGAGGACAGCAGCTGGACCACCTTGAGATCCAAAGGATCTTGGGCCTGCACAGCCCTGCCCCTTTTCTGGCCCCTGGAAACACCATTCCAAGGCTTTCCACTGGCTTTTACCAGCAGGGATTCCACCAGTGGTGCTTCCATCCCCCTGGGCATTCAGTGAAAAGAAGGGGATGCTCAGTACCATCAAAGAGACACTAGTGTCACTCCTCAGGCAGCAGCTGATAGGTCAACAGGGCTGATGGAGGGACACTTCCACCCAGTTAAGCCACCCACCCCCAGTCAGGCGCAAAACAGGGTTGGATTGCTCTGTCTGAAGATTAAAGAACCCTTGAAATTACCAAGAGTTCCAGAACAAATGAACAACTTCGGCCCAAATCATACACTTACTAGGAAGTAAGCCCTATTGAACACAGTGTCTTCCTTCCAAATAAGCATTCCAGCAGTCTATTAAATCAGCTTTTAGGGTCCTTAACTGTCTATTTGACTGCATTTCCTTTACAAACAGAACTGAATCCTGGCTTCTAAGGGAACGAGATTATATGCACATATATTTAAATTTTAACTAGGTTTTCCCCTCATACCTGCTTATCTTAATTTGCTCACTATAAAATTGTGTTTTTTGTGTTGTTAATTGCAGGTTTTCTTGTATAGGAAAGCCACTTACAGCCCAATACACAACTCAGTTAAGCAGAAGCACTTGGATTCAAGTTTAATTAGCCCTATTGAAATCAATAGAATTAAATCAGTATAAATCTTAGTAACCCTGGTTTCACTTAGCTGGGCTATAGATCAGTTGCCCATTTCACTGAAGGGTGGTATACCTCCTGTTTGTTCATTGGTATCACTAGACAGACAAATGATCCTAATGTTACTTGAGACAGTTTGAAATCTGCTTCCACCTTATGCCTGCAGGCTTGCTAGTTCATATGTTTGACATGAAAGAGACTTGGGCCCTCATTCATATGTGAAGCAAATCAACATTTACATCAGGAATGAGGATATTAAACAATTTTAGTTTAGTTGAACAATTTTAGCATGTTTAACTGTATGGCAGGAATGAAGAACCTGTGACTCTCCAGATGATGTTCTCATCTTCCCTCACTAGTCTCATCTCTGCTGTTAAAAGATACCTGGGCCACAACCCCTTTACGTATTTAAGTTCAAATGCTTTCTGAATCAAGCTGTCCACCCAGAACAAGCAAACCTCTCTAGGAGAATCCTTTGGTTCACAAGAGAGCTATTGAAGCTTGCAAACGGATGCCTTAAAATGTTAAGTGCTGTTACTTCAGGCCTGTGGTGTAGATGAATAGTCACACATTGGCGGTACTCTTGCTTTGTTGCCTGCAAAAATGGGTGTGTGTAGGAACTGAGCACATCAAGCATCTATCACACCACAACACAGGAGTTGTGAACTGCATTAAGTCCTTGTGCACCAAAGGTTCTGCCCTGTGGTGGACAGCAGGGTGGAACAGTGATGCTCACCTGACCTCCAGTTGCCTGCATCACTGCAACATACCGAGGAAGAGGATATAAGGAGCAGTGAACCTTGCTCCAATTTGGCCCTCTCCCTCCCCATTGTGGTATGCATGCGCAACCAGTAGGAAGGTCAGGTGAGTGCTGCCACCCCACCCCAACCCCTCATCCATTACTAGTCGGATGCCTTGTAGAAACTCCATTCAGTTCTCATGAATCTCCTTGGTGCATACCAGTCTTCATGCCAGAGGTGCTTTCCTTAACTTAAATGATTTGAAGAACCTCTGAAGTTGTTCAAAGGAACGTAGGCTGATCCAGATAGCCAGTTAGTATATAACTTTTTTTTGAGCTTGCTCAAGGCGAAGAGAGTTTTCAATGTCACCATCATAAACTCACCCTTTAGTTTTGTGAATTTAACTCATATTTTGGAAACAGTACAATGACATTCCCTGTCACAATGTGGGTGCATAGTCAAGCTCTAGAAACTTGTTCTAATTTATTGCTTTTATGCTTTTATACTCAGCTTTCCGGGGTAAACCTTCATAAGGCAGCTAACAACAACATCTCAAGTGATACAATATGTCAGATTTTAAAAAGTAATTAAAACAGCTTCCCTAGAGAATCTATAACAATTTTTAAAAAGTTAAAAAGCAGTTAAAAAGTCAAGCCAGCATGAAAACACCGTAGTTCAATGAAAAGCCGAGCTAAGCATAAGTTTTAAGGTCTGCATAACAATTGCTAATGGAAGAGCCATAGACAGTTCTCAGGAGAGGAATCTGAAAGATGTGAGGCTGCAATTGAAAATGCCCCTTCTAACATCATAGCTCCTAACAGCCAACCAGAGAAAAGGGCCTCTGCAACTGATCTCAGAGTTCAGGCACATTCACATGGGTATAAGTCACAATACAAATTGATGACCCCACTGCAATTTAGACTAAAAAATTAAGTGGCCAGCCATGTATCCTGCAATGATGTAAACCGTACAGTAAGACTGAATTTCCTTCCCACTTTCCCAAAAATCCACTCAAAAATCAGGTCTGTTTTCCACTGTTTTCATTGATGAGGGGGGATTTCTCTGAAGTTTTTGAAAAGGGACTGCCATTTATCTCACTGAGTCTTGCCAAGAATTGAGGGTAGTGAGAAGCCTCAGACAGAGCCTAACACCACTCCCCACCAGCCACACTTCCCAGCATGCCTTGGAAGCAACATGGCACAACCTGATGTGGTATCCCTCTCAAAGCATTCCAATATGTTCATACAACAGGAAGTTTAAGTTTAAAAAGCAAACTTTATGCTCACTTCATAAAGTTAAGGTAAGGAGCAATCTTCTTCCAAAATATTCGGATAAATTTTTCTCAACACACAAAATTTTTTGGCAGGGATATTTCTCACCTACACAGCAAACAGTCAAAAAAATGAAATTTGAGTATAGCTCTGGTAAAATTGGCCCTTATATATATGTTCACTGAACTACATCTATTCAGTTTAACAAGAGCCTGGTTCATAAATGAATATTGATGCTGAAGACATCAAGTGACGGGCTACAGATGGGGATTGTGATTTACAACCAATGGCAGAAGTTAAATCACTTGATGTCACCTCCAATGCAGTCCTTTTCAACAGAACCAATTTGCAGACCTTGCTGCCAGTTAACAAATAATAAGAAATCTATGAAGTACTTGGACGTGTACATCTTCTTCATGCTGCAGGTCATGCAGGAAGCATTAGGAAAAGGAATCAAAAATAGGACTTCCAAAACCATGATGCCATTATAAAAATGTATTGCGATTCTTAGAAAGCTATGCATAATTCTGGCCGTCATACCTCAAAATGGACCAGGAACAGGTGCAGCAGCAGAGCAAGACTCCCTGGAGAAAAGGTCTTAGTCTGGAAAAAGAGCCAATTTGGGGGAATATGATAGAGATGCATAAAATTATGCATAGTGTGGCGAAAGAGGCTAGAGAGAGTTTTTCTTCTCATCTCATAATAATAATACAACTTAGTGTTATCCCATGAAGCTGAATGTTGGAAGATTCAAAAAAAATGAAAGAGAGATACTTATTTACACAGTGCATAGTTAAACTATGGAATTTGCTGTCACGGGTTGTAACCATTGCCTACCAACATAGATGCTTTAAAGAGCAGTGAGACAAATTCAGAGAGGATAAGGCTATGCAGCGTTTGTCATCATGGTGCCTGTAAGTTGACAGGATCTAACTACCAGTCACTAGGGAACAACAGTGGGGAAATGCTATTGTTTGTGAGCATCTAGTTGACCACTGTGAAAAAGAGGATGCTGGATGCAATGCTAGTTCAGATGTGGTCTTGGGTCTAATACAGCAGGACTTTTCTTATGTTCCCTGTAAAGTATCTGGTTCCTTTGAGACTTTAGGTTGCTTGATCCAGTTCCCATTAATGTACTTATACAAAAATTTATGGAAATTATTGTCAGCTGGGTCACTTCTATTGTTCTTGCTTTCTTTTAAAATTCCCATTAGTTTTGCAGCTATAAGGTTTATTTTCAAACTTTCCATCGCAGTAAAATGGCACAGTTTGCTATTCACCTCAAACAGCAGGGTTAAATTATTTCCTTTCCTCTTGATCACTGTGAAGAAGGGATAGCAAGACAAGATTATTTTAGCATTTGGCTAAATAGATTCTTTGTGAATTCTGCCCCAAAGCAGTGAGAATTAAACAAAAAGGAGCATACTGCCTGAAAAACAGCTGTAATTTGTAAATTACATTGACTCTGCAGAGTGATCATTTTACAGGGCTTCTCTCTTGAAGTTCCCTGCAGGCTAATCTTTATTCAGGTCCTCTTCTATAATGGAGAGCTTCCCCAGACCCCAAACAATTATTAATTATAGCAAACACACTGTCAAAATCTAAAACCAGACAGTTTAAGTTAACTTTTGTCATAAAAGAAAAACAACCCAATATTGCATAGCAGAGTATTTTCCCAGGGAACTACGGTTAAGGATGCAGATACACTATTAATTTGACTAGCAAGGTCCTCGCCCAAAGGCACAGAAGTGTCTTCAGCAAGGGAAAGTGGGCTGAGCCACTTGCAACTGTCAAGTGGGATCCAGGAACCATGCCAGAGGCCAGCGTTTAGAGGGGATGTCATGGGGCTGGCAGAGTCAGGAAAGGAAGCCTTTATATCCCTTCCTGCTAAGGAGAACCAATAACCAGTCTCAATGGGTGAAGCCACTCTCAGCTGGACCCTTTCATGTAAACCCATATCCCTGGTGACTTGCCACACAAGGCAGCTGCCCACAGAGACACAGATTCCCAGTTATCATCCTAGCAGCTCTTTGCAGGTCAGGAAATAAAACTACAAGCGGGTCCAGCATTCTAGATATAAAGCTCCTATCAATAACTGTTGGGCTTCGCTGAAGAATCACTGAGAGAGGGTGGAAATCTTTATAAATCCAACATGGAAATAACCTAGCTCTTTGTGCCACATACAATGGTACCTCGGTTTAAGAACAGCCCTGTTTATGAACGATTCGGTTTATGAACTCCGCAAAACCGAAAGTAGTGTCCTGGTTTGAAAACTTTACCTCAGTCTAAGAATGGAATCCGAACAGTGGAAGGGAAACAGCGGCAGGAGGCCTCATTAGGGAAAGTGTACCTCGGTTTAAGAACGGTTTCAGTTTAAGAATGGACTTCCAGAATGGTTAAGTTCGTAAACCGAGGTACCACTGTATTATACAGAGGCTGTGAGTTCCATTTCAAAATATTTGACATAGTCACGGTGCTGGTCATGTGGGTGTGCTGATCCCTTAACCCTGAATAAGTTAAGAGGTTGCATGTAAATTCAGAATTCTCAGACGTTGCCTCTGATCTTCTTGGGTACTCAGTGCGAAGTAAGAAAGGTGGTACTGTTGTGGCAAAGTGTTTGTTACTGTCTTGGGGCTGATGTTGTAACTCTCTATAGCTGGGGTGTGTATGAGACAGAGCTAGAGATCCATGAATCCAAACACATCTGTGTGTTTTTTATTGACAGTAATGCTTGGATACATCTCTTCATGCTACAGTTTAAAGGCATTTTTCCTAAAATCTCACAGGCATCAAACCAGAGAAAGCAGCTTGAGGATTTGAAACTAATACAGATTTCCATGACTCATTCCTAAAAGGACATTGATATAGGTTATCCTTATAAGCACTTGAGGCCCATTTTTATAATAAGATAATAAGAACATAAAAATCCACCTAGTCTAGCATTTTGTATCTAAGAGTGGCCACTCTGATGCCTCTTAGAAACTTACAAGCAAAGAATGATGTTTGATCTCAATATCTGGTAGCCAGAGATATGCTGACATGGATGGTTTCCTAGTGCTAACATAGATTGCATCCATGAGTTTTAGCAATTCCACAGGCTATGTAACAAAATCCCCCCAAAGTTCTGCTCAGTTCAATGGTACTTAGTTCCCAGTAAACATGTGCAAGACTTGCAGCCCAGGTCATTTCTTTTTATTTATATCCCATGTTACACCGAAAGGGATCTACAGTAAACTAACAAATCAAGGAATCCAGCTGTTACCAGAGACACATGGGATCCAGCTAGAGGGGAAGCTACAGTCATGCTATTCCATTGCTCCATTTGAATCAGAATGCAAAAATTACTGAAAGCAAAATATTTCAGGTGTCACATTATGTGGGAAGTACAGTGGTGTATGTTCAGACTTTCCCAGGTAAGGACCCCAGAGACTGGCTGCTTAAATGGCATAGGAATGGACCTAAGGGAAGCCCTCCTGCTCTGCCAGCCCACATCCAAACCTGCACTCCCATTTGTCAATCCTGGGTGCAGGGTTGGTGCAGGGTTGGCTCCTGATAGTTGATGTGGGCTTATGTCCCCACCGCCCACCCAGACTGGGCATCGATCCTGAGCCACCTTCATTGGGGATTTTGGAGGTGCCTCCGCTGTCTTGCAACGCCTCCGCACCAAGAGGGTGAGCAGACTTGTCAGATTCATCAGTTCATGAAACTTTGTGCCATCAGCAGTGCTGTTGAGATAAATGGAGCTCTCAAACCAGTCTTGCGACTGGAGAGCTAGTGAAGATTTTGTAATCTTGTAGTCACATCTATGAATGAATTTGCGTGTGTATTTTCTCAGTCCCAACTGAGAACCCAACCTGAACTGTAGTCTACTGTTGCTGGACTACAGCTCCCATCATTTCTTACTAATGGCCATGCTGGCTGTGGCAGATGGGAGTTAGAGTCTAAAGACATATGGAAGGACCACAGGTTCCCCCATTCCTGTTATAGGTTTGCATTAATAAGAACAGAAATGAATCCATATATTGCAGAATCTGCTACCACAGAAACAAAGCAATTGGATGCTGAAAATCAACTGCTTGTCTCAGTTTAGGTGTTGTTTTTCAAAATCTGTATCTGGCTCTCACATGCTTGAGCTACTCCTAGTAAGGAAGGATACCCAGTTTTCTTTTCTGGCTCAATTTTTTCTAGCATAGCTAAAAAAATTACAAGCTTAGTCAAGTGCTTATCCTAGACCTTAAACCTATTGAATTGTTGACACATCTATCTAACACAGATTGGTGGTTGCAAATCTTCCATATCATTACATTTTGCTATTATCTGCTGCACTAGGGCCATCAGGAGTGTCTTCTTTGTCTAGATTACTTTTTTTTTGTAAAACCGATGTTGAATTTTGAATCTATTCCCAAATTCTGAAATTTTGTTTTTAGTTTTCCAAGTATCTGATTTCAACGAAGGAACAACAAACACCATCTGAGACAACAGCAGAAGAAGAGTCACTTTGGGCATTAGGTGAAGCCAAGACCTAATGCTTTCTGTCCTGTGCTTTCCTTCATATATTTTCCAACACATAACTTCATATTCCAGATTGCAAGATGTGCAAATTCCCAAGAAAATGACAGTTTGCCTATCTTGTGGCAGGATGAGATATGAAGGTTGAATCTTGCATGGTACAGAAGTGACCAGAGAACAGGAAGCTTGAGGATGCTGTGCTTCCCATTTCCTCTGAATTGCCGAATGTCCAAAGCCACACTAAAAAGCACATTAAAAATACACAGCACATGCAAAATAGTCTTTCAGTTACACTAAAATATGTGAAACCAAAATGCAACTAACTCTTTTCCCACTGTCTGCTTTTCAAGGTAGAAATCCCCTAGGATGTTGCCTCAGTCCAAGTCAGTTTTGTAGACCATGTACCATGTCTTAATACACTGTATGGGGATTAAAAAAATAGCCTTAGCTTTTTTGTTTTCTATGGTTCTTGTTGTATAGAAGAAAGACTTAAACTGTAAATAATGTATATTTAATAAAGAGAGCCTTTTGTATGATTTTGTGTGGAAGACCAGCGCCTCATGCCATGATTCTTTTTCATATATAAAGCAGGAGGGAGGGGGGGCTAATCCTGAAAAGTGGTTTCATTCTGTTCTTGCAGGCAATTAATTATTGCAGCAGGAGCAATGTTGTGGACAGTAATAAAATGTGATGCTCCCACAACTCAGATTTATTGATTTCAAACACTGCTAAAAGTACTGTCACAGGACATTTGATCACTGCACAGCATTCCTGACTCCAGTAAGTAATCATGGTTTGCAGCACCTGCCTCTGAAGTGCATGAGGGCAAATGTGTCGACTTGATAAAAGTCAAGTCGGGAGATCTGTTTGGGGTCTGATTGCAAGGCACCTCCTGGAGCACAAAGCAAGAGCTGTTCTCCAGACTTGGTGTCTCTCTGTGTGACACTTCCACTTGCTTTCACTTGCCACACTCTTGTATGAAGAATGTTCAGTATCACACATAGAAAGCTGCCTTATAACCACGTCAGACCATTGATCCATCAAGCTATGCACAGGCTAGGCTGACTGGCAGTGGTTCTCCCAGATTTCAGATAGGGTTCTCTCCCAGCCCTACCAAGAGATGCCAGAGATTGAACCTCCGACTTTCTGCATTGTTGAGCTACAACTCTTCACTATTCTATGATTTCTATCTCATAGGCACATATTTTCATTATACAGTGGTACCTTGGTAGTCGAACGGATTGGCTCCCAGACAAATTGACTTCTGAACACTGCAAACCCAGTATTAGTGTTCTGGTTTGTGAACGTTTTTCAGAAGCCAAACATCCCACGCAGCTTCCGCAGCCTCCAAATGAGTGCAGGAATCTCCTGCAGCCAATTGGAGGCCTCACTTTGGTTTTTGAATGGACTCCTGGAATGGATTAAATTTGAGAACCAAGGTACCACTGTACTACAAATTAATAAACTATCATCAGGGAATGGGTAGTGACTTAGGGCCACAACCCTACTAAGGACAATTCCCAAGGGTTAAGCAAGATGTGGCATTAATTTTTTTACCCAGCTGCCAGCTACCATACACAGGAAGAAATCTGCACAGCAAGGTAAGCAAAGGCACTTGAGATTTAGTATGTTCTCCAGAAGCAAGTTGCACTGCAGCACAGGATTTGGTGCCTCAGTTTCGAATGGTAGAATCAGCCCTACTTCTTCATAATTATAAAGGGTCATTTCCCCACCCTCAGCCTTCCACTGTTGGCCAAAACACATATAGGGGTTCACATCAGAACCTAAAATATGGTGCGATATTTTAGGACCAGGGGAAATTTTAAGGCAACAAGAACTGCAAAGCTGCTCAGACATCTCTTCTCATTTGAAGCTCTAGCTATGCACTCCTGATTATACCTGACTCACTTAACTTTGATTGGTCACTGCTGTTTCCTTCATGGGCTGTGTTTGACACCTTAGCATCTTCTCCGCTCTAATTGTGACTTCTTCAGCAGACCATTATATATGTACCTGCCTTTCATCTCCCTCACTGGTCCTGTAGCTTTTCTGACTAATCCCAGGTATCCTCTCTTGATTATCCATTCTAGGGTGTTGTTTCTGTCCTGCTTCTTCCCAGACATGCTACTCTCCCCTTCCAACATTACTGGTTTTCTGAGGATTTTTTTTTAACCTGGAAAAGTTGGATATATTGAGTATTATGGAGAGGGGGCTCAATGAGAAATGCATAGGCAGTGTGATGCCAAATGTCTCTGACTCTGTATCCCAGATGTGGGGAAAGTGGTCAGGAGAGGGGTTCAAAAGAAAAGTGGGGAGAGGGGGAGAATCAAGTAGCGCTCAATCCAACCAATATCCTTGTCAAACCTTTCTCCTGGGATGAGGCATTACCTGTGCACTTCATAGTCGCTGGATGGCACTAGAGTAGGTAAGGCCTTTCTAGGAATGGCTATTCAATTTTGATATTAGTGTCTGAGGTTCAGAAGCATTCCCAGGACGACACCAAACAAACAGGACACTGGACACACTAGGCTTTGTTTTATGGACAAAATAAAGAAATTCTGCCATGAGCACCAATGCAACACACTCTGCAGTGTGTATGAATCACACCAAATTCTTCTTTAGCATAGAAACTTGAATGAATTTCTATACAACCTGCCACAGTTTACAAGCACTTCAATCTTGCCCAATTACACAACACAATACCACAACACTTTGATTCACCTTCACACTAGCTTCCAGGTAGAGAAATTAAATGCAGGATGTTTATTATCTGGGCTCAGGGAGACTGCAAGTGTCATCTTTTAACTGCCAGGAAATATTAAACCTTCCCTAATAACACTGAGCAGTAATAAAGCTTCAGTCAATCAGATGCAAGATTCATTTTGTTGAACCCACAAGCCTTGACTTTTAAGAACAACCTTATTTCTCCATTGATCAAAACCATGTCCTTCTCTTCTAACAAGACTATGACTCCTGACTTGAATTTGCTACCCATTGTTTATTATTATGGAGATGTGATAGTATCTGTATATATAAAGGCACTGGGTAGCATCAGTAAATTTATCTGGAGAAGAAAACCTGTCATCTCTACCACCTTTATGGCATTTCCCAATTATCTACCTTTCATTGTGCTGTCTTTATGGTTCCATGACAGAGTAATTCTAATAATAATAATAACAACAATTATTGTACCTAAATTCATTGGCCAGATTTGAGTGCAAACAAACATTATAGCTAATTCCCCTCAATAAGCAATCACAATAAACCAGCCTATAGCAGTCAGGAGGCTGGAATTACCGTTTAGAGCAGTCAGGCCCAAATCCCTCCACTGCAGCACTATAATATAAAATAGAACTATATGTTCACAGTATTCCCAATCCAGACTATGCTTTCAATATACAAAACTGTGAGATACAGGACAGACCTAGGCAGAATTGAGGAATGCTGAAACCTGCCTTACCCTCCACTTTTCAGAATTCTACAACTCCCCTCTCTGGCTGTTTATTCCTTAGATGTGGTTCTGAGACATTGTTCTTGGATGAGTAAGGAAAAGCATCCAAATCCCAGCGGAGCAATGGCAGGACATGACAAAGCACCAGATTCACCACCACATCCAAGTCCCTGAGAGCCAGTGTGGTGTAGTAGTTAAGAGCAGTGGACTCATAATCTGGTGAACCAGGTTGCTTCCCTGCTCCTCCACATGCAGCTGCTGGGTGACCTTGGGCCAGTCATACTTCTCTGAAGTCTCTCAGCCTCACTCACCTCACAGAGTGTTTGTTGTGGGGGAGGAAGGGAAAGGAGATTGTTAGCCACTTTGAGACTCCTTAGGGTAGTGATAAAGTGGGATATCAAATCCAAACTCTTCTTCTACTTCTTCATTGCTCACACCACTCTGGGTGGAAGTCATGGGAGCAGGCAGAAGCTTGCTCTGGACTACACCAACCTGGAGTTAACATAGCCCCTGAGCCCAGTGCCATCAAGTGATAGAAGAGTGGTAGAAAGCTCCACCACCTTTCTCCATTCATGAGTTGAAGGAATAACCTCTGAAGTTAGAAGCCTCCCTCATGTGATTCTAATTGTGTTGAGTATTAAATAGAGCCAACACTTTTCGTAGAAACAGTTTACATACTCAGCTGCTAGTGAATCAAGAAATCAAGTCAGATAATGCATATATGAATGTGGACTACCCCTTAGAAAGAAACTTCCTGTCCTCTAACATCATCTCAAATTTAATGCATTTCAGCACTGGTAATTCACATGCTCAGTAGCAAGTATGGCTGCAATATCATTTAGTGACCAGGCACTGAATCATGCATATGCATTTCTGAATGAGCTTTGGCTCTAACCTACAAAAGGAATGTCAATATATTTTTCACAAAAACTACTCCACTACCAAACTGTTCTTACAGAATTTCCCTACCTGGTATGATATTAAACCCTAAATCTGTGTAGCTGCTGTTTAAATCAGTTGCCAACAAGGAGATATATCATGTCACAATCTATTAAGTTCTCTTCTAGCCCTTCAGTTGTATAATTCTAAAATGAATTCCTGGGGAGACAGAAAGTTGTTAAGAACTACATTTTCCTGTACCTTGCAGAAAGGGATCAGTGAGAAGAACTGAAAAGTTTCATCCACAAGCTTTCAACAGATACTGCAGTAGAAGTAGATAGGTTGCAGAAAGCACCCTATTTATTGTACTTTAGTCTTTTAAAGTTACAGCTCTCTTAGGACACAAAAATAAAACATCTCCCGGTAGTCTGTTTGGGGGCTATTGTTTTCCAATAGGAAGCTTGGAAGGAACAAACAGGATGGACTCAGCAGGCAAGCAGAGCAGGTCTGTAGCATTTTAATAGAGATCCCTTGAACAGAATATGTTTAGTGACCTCTTAGAAAAACAAGGGGAAGCAGCCATGTGCAATCTATTAAAATATATTTGCGCCTGGCTCTTCAGAGTACTTGTTTGAAAATAACACCAACCAACCAACTGGTAGCCTACGTTTGTATGATAGTCAGGGTAGTGGATTGTGTTGGGAAACTGTGTATGTGCAGCTACTCACACAGAGTCAATTAAGGTTTGGCAGCCAGCCAGAAGGTCATGTGAAGAAGTAAGTTTGCCTGGTGATAACAGAGGCATGGAGACAGCTCCCTGATTGGTCAAGCTCTCAAGGGAGTGATAACTGGAATGTGTTCAGTATTTGGAGTTCAGGTTTTCAGTGGTTCAGTGTGTCAGTGAGTGTAGGAGTTGTGAGTCGTGTCGGAGAGAGCTAGCTAAAGATCTGTGTTCTATTCCTGTAAATAGTCCATTGTATATAATAAGCACCTAACTACACGTTCCTGGTTCCTGCTTCGTCTATCCTGTCTGCAGCCAAGTCTCCAATTGCTTCCGTGGATTCTGCGTTTACTCTGCTAGGTCTGGCTAAGGTCCTGCAACAAGTCAGAAAGTTGCGAAACACCAATAGGTTTTGCCAAGGGGAAGCAGCCATGTGCAATCTAGTAAAATATATTTGCGCCTGGCTCTTCAGAGTACTTGTTTGAAAATAACACC